GTGCCATCATAAATCAGCTACCTGTAAACGTGCAGTGCGCGTTGCGACTGGCCGACAAAAACGCGCGACGCAAAAGGAACGGCTCCTCAACACTGCGAAGCACAAGATCATTCCCAAATTGATCAGCGACCGCAGAATTGTCCCGCTTTGTCGTATGGATAGGCTACAATGGACAGAAGCAGCACTTCTCCACAACGCCTTCTGTGTAGCAGGCAGCGCTCACAGCGAAGTCGCTTTTGGTCTGCGCACGTTTCGACCGGACACCGCGCAAAGTGGCTGAATATACTTACCGAACCTTCGTATGAGTTCGGTGAAGACGCCTGGGTCGCTCTCGATAAGGCACCAGTTACCAGCGAACGAAGATAAATCCATGCGACCAACAACGGTTCACTCGAACGCGCTCGACCTTCCTACAACATTACACTAAGTTCTCGTTTGGCCTACAACCGGCGTGCTTGACAACCAGCACAGAGCAACCACCGGATAATGGACGAAATAACCGCGCATATATTGAAAAACACGGGCAGAAGTGCGAGACATGAAAACGAGTCGTTTCAACGCAAACATACAAAGCAACAGAATGCAATAAACAGTCAAAAAACCATAAAGAAATAGGAGTACATAGACTCCTGTGTGCCGTCTGTTACATAGTGAAACCTCTAACTGCGATATTCTAAATAAAAATATCCTCAAAAAATAAATATATCTGATTATGAATATACTTCGTTCCATGATATCTGTTCGCAACACGAACAGGAAATGAATTCCTATAATTTGAATCGAAATATTTTGACTGGCTTCTGCTCGCAACAAAAATTATTCAATATCTTTCCAGTGTAAGTTACAATATTATACAATCAAAATCCATAATACTTTATAATCGTTTTAATGATACTTATTGCACACTGAACAGTGAAAAGCATCACTGAAGTGTTAGGTCAACTGTCTATGTAGTACAGCAATTATAGTACATAAAGGTAGAACGATGACTCAAAGTCATGATCTCAACAAACATCAGCATTGGTGAAAGACTAAAGTGAGACAGCAAGCATTTTAATTGCTGCGTCCTGCCGTACTCAGTGCATATTTTATATATTCACGTTTGATAAATTTTATCTGACGGCTTCTATTCATTATAAGAGAGAAGGGATCGCAAGGTGTCTTCAAATCTTTCAAAACGTTCCTGTTCTGGAGACTCATCCACATCTTCGATTATCGTCCTTTCCATCCTTGATAAATAATTATTAACAATAAATTATATGGTTATACGGATAAAAAAAATTTGGGTAATAGTTATTCTATTATGTTAAATGCGGTAAGAAGAGAAGATAAAACAACTACGCATCGTGATTGAGATCTTAAACATCTACTTGAAAAAATTAGAAAGTGCAAGTATAAAGGCTGTCCAAAAATTAAAAAAGTATCATAAGGACTAGAGAATGCGAATGACCCTGATTACTCCCTGCCGTACAAGAAGTTACGCATTTCTTAAACAGAAAATTGTGGTCTTTGGTCGCAGGATCAAATGTTATAACGAGGTAATCAAAAGAAGGCAAGGGAACGATATGTTCAGAAACAGTAGCAAAAAATTCTATGCCTCATTAGAAGAGCATAAGCAGTTGAATCAGGAGTCCAAAACACTAAAACCAGAAGCGATGCACAAAGAATGGAGTAAAATATAGGAAATTCAGTATGAACAAGCTCTAGGAGCGAACTGGCTGATGAAAAATAAAAGAATTCTATCTGAAACAGAATAATGCAGTCCATTCTGATCAAATCTCAAAATGAAGTAGACGCTACTAAACACCCAAGTGGAAATCGCTCGAACTAGAAGGTATCCAAAATTACTGGTGAAAATATTACACACGCACACAGTGTACTGGCATCGCAGTTTCTGGCAATAATAGAGCGCGCCCGTCTCGCGTCCAGTTTCCCAAGTGAAGCAGTGATCTACGTGTTACCTAAATAGACTGTTGCGACTGGGCCTACAAGTGTGTGCCTGCCGGCAGTCTACAAGCTCTCAACATCTGCACTGACAATGAGGATTGGATCGCATCTTATTGCAAATAACATATGAACACAACAGCAAAATGGCTGTAAAGAGCCATTTATAATTGATTTAGTTGCTACCAACCACGTACTTCATGTAAGAAATAATAACTCACTTGGGTAGGCTAATTACAACAGCGACTGTCTCGCTACGTCATTCATGAATATACAAGGTGAATTACAATATCACTGTCCTGATGGCTAACTTTCACTTTCGACTTCACGGAAACGTGGCGAAGGTGACTGCATGATGGAACAGATCTCTATCAGCATCAGTATGATCTGAGAATTCAACCTCTCGAAAAAATCGAAACAAAGTTGTTAAAATGAAGGTGCGGCGGAACAGTTGATTGCAAGACCCAAGAACAGCAGTGTGGTTTCAGGTCAGACCGAAACACCTTTCATCAGATCTTCATATTACGCTACATCGCAGAGAAATAGTGGGAATGGTCTACACGTGCTCTGTAGATCTTGACAAAGCCTAAGACCGTATCTCGCGTAACAAGCTGTGAAAGTGTTTGCAAAGATATGGGATGAGCGGTCGTTAGAAGCCAACCCGTCATTATATGCTGAAGGCAGGTGCCGCATCTGAGTAAATGGCATTCAGTCGAGACCTTACAGCGTTGGCGCCGGTCATCAAGAATGCGCTCGGTCCAATCTACTGTTTGTGATGTACATAAATAGAAGTCAGGCGCAGCCAGGGCGATCAGTGTATTAGAACAGACGTGGAGATGAGAAAGCTGGTATGATGTTAAGACGACTTTATTCTGTTGGCATGTTGAGCTAAACTCCAGCGCAATCGGTATTGGTTCACAGAAGAGGGTGACGTTGCCGGCATGCGATCGAAAGTGGCTAAAACGAAAAGTCGTGCTTACACGTTCTCCTGCCCGTTGCTTCATTCAGAAAAACGGAAAAATAGTGGAGCAGATTCAGAAGCTCAAGTATCTCCGGTTCGGTTTTACAGGTGATGGAAAATTTGAGGAAGAGATCGACCGGCAGACTGGAGTAGCCAGTGGCGTTCTGCGTGAATTAGCCCAGACCACTGTGACTAAAGCAGAACTGATCCTGAAGAATAAACTCTCGGTGTTCAAGTCGATCTTCATTCTGATGTTTACCTACGGTCCTGAGTCGTGGGCCATGATCCGGGTACATGCGGCACAAATGGGCTTCCTGAGACGAATCGATGGACTGGACATGATCCCGAATAGAGATATCCAATAGAGCCTTAATGTGCAACCGCTGCTTCTGCGATTGAGAATTCTTAGATGTTATGGCTTGGACAGGTCTTGGGAATAAATACAAAGAGGAAGGCGAAACAGCCTAGCTCATCCGACCTTTGGAACGGCAAAGAATAAGCTGTGGCAAGTTTCTCGAGACTTTGCTTCAGAGGAAGCCTATCTTCCGCCGAGACTCAAACTCTGGCACAAGATCGGGAACAGTGGAGACCCTGTCTCCGCAACACGAAAGTATAAGCGGTCATTGTAACTGACTGACTGATCCTGATATGGTCCCACCCCTCTCTCGATCATCCTGATCAAAAACCAGAAATACCATGAAGGATTTTGCATGCAGTATCTGAGATCAACTGTAGCCAAGTTATACTTTGCAAGTAACCATGGTGTTCGCGCATTACTGAACGCTGCTGATCACTGCAAAAAAGAGAAACGTCG